CGGCATCAGCGATTGAGGTTGTCTCTAGTGAAAACGGGGACATCTCCTGAAGGAGGTTAGTGTTGTCATCTTCAACATTTCCCTTTTCCGAGAGTTTTAGGAGCTTCCTAATCCCAATGTGCTTCAGTCCACAAGTAAACTGATACACATTAGGATTGGTGTTGCAGCCGTGTTGTTGCCTCATCTGCCCGAAAATATTTTCGAGGGCATCTTGCTGCAGTCGCGGTGTCAAAAGAAAGCTGAAGAGAGCATGAGGACGGCCCTTATAGTAACCTGCCACCCAGTGACTGTTTGTGGCTGCCGTCTACCCTCAAACTTCCAGACTGCCACCCATGTAAGTTGGTTGCAAAGAAAATTAACGATTTCAGTGTCGCCCTTTCTAATCGCATAGCGTAACTTTTGTTCAGAATTTTTGGTCTCGAGCTGTTAAGACGGTCAAAAAGTTTGTCCATGCGGTCACAAAAGTATGCCGTGGACATGGCCGCCTCAGGGTGCATACACAAGAGCTAAAAGTGCAACGCATACTGATGAACTAAGAACCTGAGTCGCACGTTTCACCTTCATGTTGCTGAAAGGTTTCTGGTAAATATGCCGGTCTGTCAGTTTCGGGGCTAATCGTAGTCGCATCTCGTGCGTGGAGTGGTAAAGTTGCACAATGTTGTTCGAGTCTACATTTTCACTCCCGATGTGAAGCTTCTGGGCTTGCAGGTTGTTACGGATGGTCTTTATCAGGTGCGGGACATCAAAAATAAAATAGACACTTTCATTTCTTACTTTGAAGAATGGCTGCTCAACAGACACTAAAAGTTGATGCGCCAAACTTACGTTGGAGGCACCCTGGTCACAGACCACTGCTTTGATAGTAATGCCAATGTCCTTCAGCTGCTCAATCAATGACATAGGCAGGTTACGAGTTACAGAGGATGGTGTTGACGTATGCCCAATAGTGTATGCTACAGGTTGCACCCACCTCCTAGAAACTCCAGAGAGGAGGAAAACCTGGGCTTTGTCAGCAATACTGGAAGTTCGCTCAACACCATCATCTGGAAATCCGAGGACAACATCCTGCGCCACATCGTATGACAAGTTCTTTTTCAATATCATCTTGTCAAACACTCAGGTACAAATGCGGTCGCGTTCATTCAATGACTTTGTTTTTGACGCAATCTATGACATGATGCCTGAAATGATACCTGGCGTCATTTTGACATTGGCGAGCCAACTTCGTAGTGAACGCCGAGATGGTAGCGTGAGCACTGAAGACATAAATCGGTATGCCCGCGGTCCATGAAAATTCAGATGGAGCGCAAATTTCTTCAGCCACAGTGGAAATCGCTTCCCCTTGCCCTTCGACCTATTCTTTACATGCGATGATATGAGGTGAAATATTTCTTCAGAAACATGACGCCGAATTATTTCCAGACATTGAGAAGCTGTCTCAGGCGTCTTCAGCTGTTGTTTCCGCAGTCAGTCTGTTGTCTTTCTGTAGCTGGAAATTCTCGCCTGGAGTCGCTTGATAACGTCCTCGGGCCTTTTCGTGAGCTTGCGGCAAACAGGTGCAGGATGGTTTGGACCAGCTATAAAAATGGCAACAAGTCAGTGAGATTGAAAACAGTTGCAGTAAGTGTGATACGATTTAACCAGTAAAAGCACCACTAACCAGTAGCATACCAGGCAAGGTGTGGAGTGAAGCCTGAATTTTCTTCTTGCGCTTTACCATTTAAGCACTGTCAAAGCCAGTGAAACTTCTGACCACCAATTACGTTATTCTTTTACTGGTCATGTAAAATGTTCTGTACTAAATATCTTCACTAAAATCCTTGATAACCTTGCAAGTTCGAAAGGCTGAAATAGCATGAAAAACGCAAACAGCCATGAAGAATTCTCTTGAAACGTCCGCTTGATATGTGTGTTCCAGTTTCCCACACCTCCCCAGTCATTAGTAATACAAATGGATAGATCGGTATGCCACACACACGAAGCAAATACTATAGCTTATAAAGAGACCTAGAGTTCTTTAAACTGATCCTTCTGGGACAGATTGCATTATCTACTGGCTATACAGGTTCACACAAATAAGTTTTAAAAAGTGGCGAAAGCAAAACGGGACACTTACAGTGTTGACCTGGACCACAGTGGCTGGCGAAAAGACCAGAAGAGCTGGTTGCCTGACTTGGGTTTGGAAGAGTGCGCATACTAGGCACAGGTTGGTGCCTTAAAATAACTATACTACCGAGTGCTGCAGAGTGCATTACTGCGGAGCTGCATGGGAGCGGTGAATTCTGCAGTCTGTCGGGCTCTGCCTGGTCTGGAAAGGTTTCATTATTAGACACAGAGGTTTATTTCGCAGCGTCTGTTGGACCTCTGAGCATGCGAATAACGGGGAAAACAAACGGACACGATACAGTTCGCTTTTTTCTCTTGCCCTTGTCTGCGCACGCTGTGTTTTGCTCGCGACTAAGCAATAACAAAGAAATGAGAAAACGTCTTACCTTCTGAAGAAACCTGTTAGGCGCAGACGATATCCACGTTGTGCTCACATTCTGCTCGCTGTGCTCACATGTGCTCAACACAAAACGCGTTTACAGGTGTCATGCACCATGCGGTCACGCCGTCCACGCAAGCACGCGTCCGTCCGTCCGTCCCGCTCCAGCCACTCCAGCCGCTTTCTCAGAGCAACTGCAGGAACCGGAACTGGCCCGTACATCACGTGATCTTCTTAACGTAGTAAACAAAAACTATTTCACCCTTTATGATACTTCAAACTATTTTAAATATAATAAAATTAAAACTTGAGTATTTATTTATAACAAACCTCACGAAATATTTTCATTCTTTGGCACACTGGCACCACTTAGCGGTCGGTGAGAAAACTAAACGCTCGGCCGCGAAACGGCTCGAGTGGCCACTCTTTCCCTTGTGTAGATTACTCTATGGTATAGGAGTTAAGGATTCCGGTTTATACGCAAGTGGACGCGGGTTCGATCCGCGGTGGGCCTACTTCTTTTTTTTTTTTTTTTTCTCAAAACATTTTGTTTTGTCGAGGCATTGGCGATATTTACATTTCTTTTTTGCGATGGTTTTGTCGACGAAACTTCGCAGAACTAAATGGCATGGGTCTCCCTTTTCGGAGGTGCGATCGGGGACAGCGGGGCTTGGGTTGACGGCTGGACTCCGTGAAGCGGCGTGTACTGTTTAAGTTTTGTAATTAGCAGCCGATACTGTCGCCGCCAACCGGCGCGAACGCAGGCGGCTGTGTTAACGAGCCCCCCAGTGATACACGCGCCGTTCGAAAAGGGTGGCCCGAGCGGCATGAGCTCTGCGCGGAGTGCGTATACCTATTTCGTCCAAAATGCACTCCGGAGTGCGTATAGTTTTACTCGTTTATTATTGCCGAAAAATACCTCGGAAGAATAAGAGTACGGAACCCGTACAAGTTCACAAAATGGGTAGCTATTTGTTTGACGCCCTTATCGAATATATTGTTGGTCCCTAAATATGGGCAAATGCTTTCATTGCCCATCGTCCGCGACCCAAAATCACACTAGGAAAATCTGCGCAGCGTTTGGTTCTCAACGTTGACAATTAGTGGGTAAAACAACACTACACAACGAAGCAACAACAATCGACTTTCAGATTCCCTATCGCCAAATCACTTTTTCATAAAGAACTTCCAGTACACGATGCCACCCAAGATGATAATTTCCATGATGATGACCAAGATCAGAATGAGTTTGTTGGTGATCACGCATCTGTACATGGTGCGCAGTATCTTGCGACTCGTCGTCAAGTTCTGATCGGTCTCTTCGAGCCGCTCTTTTGTCCGGACTAGAGACTCGCGCTAGGTGCGCAGCTCTTCGGCCACGGCAACCCCGACTTGATCGGTCTCGGCAGCGACTTGAAACGTTCGCGCGAGGGTATCGGTGGTCCTGCCCAAGGTTTCGTTCATCTGAAGCAGCCGACTGCGATGAGGATCGTTCAGAAAGTCACCGATGACGGTTGAAGGGCTCGGGAGTTCCTGCCTCGCGCCGCTGGCGTTGATGCTGATCGCCAGTGTGACAACCGCCTTGTTGACGTCGCCTAGTACAGCCCGGTACTTGCGGGTCTTGGCGTTCAACTGGATACGGTACAAGTTGGGCGCCGAGTGGGCTTCGTCCTGGATATCTTGGAGGACGTCGTTGGCCTGGTCCAGTTTACGCTGTACTTCGCGTAGTTGGTCTTTTTGCTTTCGCCGCTTTGAACGCGATTGCGGGTCCCGTCCAACTTGCGCTTGATGTCGTCGAGGAGGGTCCTGAGGTCCTCTTCGAGGTCTTCGAACTTCTCGGACGACATGCCGTGATGCATCGCTGAGAAGTCCAGCGGAAAGCCGGGGGCGTTCACGGACGTGGAGAATCGCGAAAAACGGCTCCAAGACACAAACGTAACACAAAACACTCCCCGCCGTAAAAGATCGCAGAAACCAGCGACAAGAGCAGTGATATGGACGCGCTTGAAAACACAAGTCCTTCCGTCTCATTTTAACAGTGACGTCATTTAGTATCGAATGTTACGGGTTGCGCTGGTTAATTTATTTCTAATATAAATGATATAAACCGACCGAAAGGAGAAAACATTGCAATGATAAGCTGATGTGAACAATGATTTTCTGTTTTATACCGTTAATGCATTATTACTAGATCGCAATTTATATTTATATCCTCTTAATTTACGCTTTTATAATTTTCAGCCATGCCGAGCGTTCTGGCATTTGTTTAATCTTTAATTAAATAAAAGAACGCACTCAAACAAATCACGTGACACAAACATTTATAGATGTACAAAACAATCTTAGTTTTAATTAGACGGCTTCTCGCGCCATCTGCCAATATTATTATTATATTTAAACACGTTTTTTAGTGTCGTCACCTGGTGAGAGAAGTAAGAAGCTATTATAAAGGAACAGGGGAAAGCGAAACAGAGAATGGCAGAGATCCTCACAACAGCTGAACGAACCCTAAGCGCTTTTGTTATGGCTCGTGCGGTGCCATGACTCGCTTGAAGTCGCATTAGGTCGTACCCCGCTTACTTCTCGCGCACAGACGGAAACAGGAGAGCGACGAGTGCGTGCCCGAGACCCTGAAGCCGGATGGCGGCGTCGCCAGAGTCAAACATGGCAGACTTCGACGCGATCTACAAAGAGGACGACGTAGACCTGAGGGCCAACGAAGACACGTTGGTGAGCCTCGTACCCCAACCGATGGCCATAGGAGGCGCCGGAAACATGACAGTGTGAGTACCGGTCTATCTCGTCCGCACGAGCTAGCGCCTACTCCATGTGCCTCAACGTCAGGCGCTGCAAGAGTTCTTCACTCCCCACCGTGCATGCGTGCGCTCGCGCGAGCACTTCGATGGTTCATTTTTAAACCATACTTCGGTGCTTGCTTACAAAAGAAGGAAAATACCTCCGCGGTATGACCGACTGCGTCTCTGAATGTCCAGGTCACTTTAAAAATAAATAGCGACACAAACAACGTTGGGTTTTTATCCCCTCCAAACGCCCGGAGGCAGGCGGCGAGAGCTGCCAGCGACGCGCTTTTTGTTTGCTTGTGCATTTTTCGTGGTAGTTACGGCAAACAAAGGGAACGATTTCGCCCGTTGTGTTTGGTTGGCGTGCCGCAACTTTTTCCAGATGGTAACGGCTTGCGTGTGTCTGGAAATGGAGGGGAGGTCTTTTTCCAGCATCGATTCAGCCTCACCCACGTGTTTCTTGTGGTGTCGCGCCGTCCCTCTTCACGTCTCGCACACGTCACGACCATTAAACAGCTCGTCGATCCGGAATTTTGTTTTCATTATCGATCGGCTGATCTACGAAGTCCGATCCCGAAAGGAAAACACGGCTTTTTAGCTCTCATAAGTAAAGTACGCTTCGCAGAAGGCTGAAACTCCGTGAGATTCTGACGCTTGCGGTAAAGATAAAATGCGAAAGTTTGAGCGCATAATGCTGCCATACTACAGAAAAAAAAATGTTATGGGTTGACGTTTACCTGAGCCAAATATTCACCAAATTAAAATTTGAGACTGTCGGTGCTTGCAGCAATATGTCAGTGAAGAATCTTGTCAGCATGAAAGAAGACAGTATTGTCTTTCTAAATGGCCAGGGGGGCTATGTTCGACAAATGTTTCGTTTCTCTTAAAAAGAAAGGGAAGTGACTGAACTGGCATCATGGCGTCTGATTGGTTAGAGGCTCTAATGACGAAAGAGGGAACTTTAGTTCTTTGAGCCTCTAACCAATCAGACGCCATGTTGTCAGCTCTGCCACTTCCGTTTCTCTTTAGGAGAAACGAAATATTTGTCGCACATAGCCCCCCAGTTTCTTTCACTGAAATAAAGGCTAGGGGTACCTACAATCTCAAATTACTCCTCGATGAATATTAGGCTCAAATAGACGTCGGCTCAATGAGAACTCTTTTTTGTGCGTGTGTCTTTTAATCCAGGTAACTTCGTGCGCTTACACTTTCACATTTTATCACCACCGCTAGCATCGGATTCTCACTACGGTTCAGCTTTCTGCGATGCATAATTTTTTTGTAAAAGCCGTCTTTGCTTTTCTCGATTCGACCATGATTTCCCCCTTTACCGTTCACTTCTCCATACTGGTATAAAATCTCCTGCCTGCGAGTGTGTGTGCGATTTGGGTGTGTATGACAGTGTTGTCCTCACCTAGCATATTGTATCACCACATATGAACACAGTTGTTGCAGTCTGACAAGATGAGAATGATGGCTCCCTACTTTCGATACCGCTTCGGCGTCTTGTAAGCCTGCAATGCGCAGCCCCAGCACTGTGCATGCTGGAGCAGGGACATTTGAAACAGACGGCCTGTCGTTCTTCTCCCCATAGTTTGGACTGTTGCCTTTTTGTGGCTCTCTCATGAGCCAATAAAGATTTTTATTAATACTTCTCTTTTAGATGCTATGCATTGGTTCATTTCATCTAAGTTCCTTTAGTCGACTGTTCCTGAGTGGCGTGACATGGAGGCACAACCCGGAATTGTCAGGGACATTGTCAAAAAACGAGCCCAGTAATGAAAAATAAGCCGGAAACGCCATCGAGTGCCCTGAGCAAAGACTTGCGGACTTGGTGGAAGAAAAATGGGCAATATATTCTGCTTAGAGCAGAGCGCAGGATCTGCTCACCCTATGTAGAGTGTGCTACCCGATGCAAATGGAACACCCGACAAATCCAGTCCAAGCATTAGATTGGATTAAGGGCGCGACACTAGACTAGACCCAGCTAGGGCTACTAGAGTTACTAACAAATGGGGAAAGCCGCACACCCCAACCCAAGCTTTACAACGAAAGTATTCGAAAGTGTGCATCTGGTGGCCATGCTGCCATTTGGTTATTGACGTGTGTAGTTGAGCGTTGTGTTCTCATCGTGTCTCCGAAAGTGGCCTCTTTACTGACGATGCTGGCAGCAAGAAAGTGATCGTTTAATCCGGACTGAACGAACCCGAATATTTCCTAATATGCAAGTTGGATTAAGCCCGTGCAAAATGATTCTCACACTGTTCAGTGCTCAATGCCTTGTGTTGTAATGGCCTTACATATTTAAGCACCTCTACAGTGGTTAGGAAATTTCACCTCAAATTGTCAGGGGTTATCAAAATAGTAATTTGCTAGACACCCTGATCCACAAAATAAGCTTCTTCATTGACTCCACTCCCGGAGTAACAGGATGCCGTGGTACGGGACAAAGCAAAACACACTCCAGCAGTGACCAGAACTACAGCAACTCAATTTGTGTGTTCAAAGTTGTATCTTCTGTTTAAAAAAAAAATAGACACCATTGAGCTGACAACCTCCAAGTGTCCCTATGTCTCGTTTCCAGTGTTGATCCTTCCCCCGTATCGCTGTGCTTTTCAAACCGTTGATGCGAACCACGGTATCTTTTAAATGCGAAGCCGTGCCTCGCTCAATTATTTATATGATTTACAATATATTTGTATACCCAAGCGGGAAGGGGTGTACACACGTCCTTTGACTGGTCTCTTGTCATGTTACAACCATCACATCTTCATTATCTTCAACGTGTTATACGGTACACGCGTGGGACCGTTCTTATTGTCCAGTAGACATCTTTGAAGAGGAGGCAGTTTGTTTAGAAATGTGGCTTTCTTTTGCTTGCAGGTTTGGCCTGAGCAATAAATTCGACACGGAATTCCCGCCAACGCTATCTGCTAAGGTAAATACCCTCTTCGAAATCTGCTCCCAATCACTGACAACCCTTACTCGCGGTGGTTATCTTGAGAGACGCTCTTGTAGGGATATGCTAGTCTTAAGAAGCAAAGGTTGAGATTTAAGCACAAATCTGGCTGTGATTTGGTGTCGCACATTGCGGGGTCACGAAATTTTACTGGCTCAATTGTCGTAAAATTTCTTTTTCTCGATAACATACTTTGGTTTATTTATGGCCAAACCAACTTGATTATAGGCTGTGATACATGTTACTGGCTTGCAGAAGCTCCTGTGTGCAAACAATCATTCTGTATTGTCTATGAATGCAACCTTGAGAGAGGCTTGCACAACAGTTTTTTTCATAACTTTAGTTTTAATTATTAATAACTGACTACTATCACTGAGAAATAATCGTTCCTGTCTAGAATAACACTCTTTAACAAACCCAGTGAGCCTGTTCAGTGCGTTTGGCGCTAGTCTTTTACCGGCGTCCCCGCTAACCCTATCTGAGTGGACCGTCGATCTCGATAGGTGCAGGCTGCGTAGATGCAACTTCAGACACAGCTGGAAGCTCAACTCTCGCCTTTTCCCGATGTTTTGTTTTGCATTTAATGCTGTATGTACTTTCCCAAAGACATTGAAGAAGCATTCTGCCGCATTTAAAACAAAAAGGAAACTGGTTACTATTTTTGTTGGGTACGTGCGCGACTAAACAAATGTGGCTGGAATGTTTGTTTTGTTTTACGACGAGTTTTGCTGGCGCCGCCTGCTCGGCAGTGTCAGTCAACAAAGCTGTCAAAAATCATTGACAACACAAGGTGGCCGAAAGGCACGCATATTTCACGCCGCGCACAAATGATGTGATACCAATCTACACGGCACGACTCTTACATCAAACTTAGCAAGCGTCAACATTCAAACAATATATTGCGCATACCACACGGTACACCATTATTCGAAAAGGATTTATCTGAGAAAGATATCAAATAACGCGGCACAGCAGTGTCCACGACAGTCACGCCTCTACAATCAGCCGTAATCCAAGAGGACCTGGTTTTAGGGAGAGCTTCTTTTTTTTTTCACAATACCAGCACCAAGCAGAGAGGCAACTGTGCTCTCCAGTCTCCAAGAAAACCTCTACGCAGATTATCTCTGGGACTTGAAAGAACAGTTTTCCTTGTTAGCAGAATTGTGTCGTGCGCCGTTCGATGTTCTTTCCTTGCTTTATTTCTTGTGAATGTCGAGCAGAACCGCTGAAATGGTGTGCACTTACCAGCCTCATTTCTCTTGGGGGAAGACAACAGTGAAAGGGCATGCGGCATGCTCAAGGAAAATAAAGCAGAAACTTCCAAGAGAGGCTGGAAATCTTTCTATGCAAAAAAGCAACACATAGCTGGGGGATTGCACTGAGGAGGTTTCAACAATCCAGGAGAGTGGCAGAAAAACTATTAGGGCATGCGAGAGTCGCACCAGACGCTTTCATCATCAGCAGCATGGTGGCGGACTAGGAGCGTTTTTTCGGAAAGGTTGTGTTTGGTTTGCCCTGGCTGCATGCCCGACCCGGAGGAATAACACATAGTCAGTTCCGGTTGCTGTCCCGACCGGTATCCGCCTCCAGAAAAGTCGAGTGTCATGCTTTCGCCTGTAATGAAATCTCGGCCCACGATCACGGGTGCCACGAGTCCTGGCAGATAAAGAAATCGCTGACGCCGCTTCTTTCCACTAAACAGAGTCCGCAGCCTCACGGTTCCTGCAGCTGTGATCGCTGTGGCAGCAGCTAGCTGCAAACGGGTTTTTGCGTTCCTGGAGGCTTGTCATATCGTCGTACAAGCAGTACGATGATATGACTACCGAGTGCACAGCGTTGAAAGAAGAAAACAAGACGCTGAAAGCTGAGAATGCTGCACTGTCCTCGCAGTGTGATTCGCTGAAAAAACTACTGTCTGACATGGAGCAGCGTTTAACTGATCTTGAGCAATACTCCCGGAACAAAACATTGACATTAAGGGACCTCCAGCAGAGCAGAACGAGCATCTTCCTGACATGCTAGATAAAATAGGTGAGATAATTAATGAGCCTATCACTCAAGAAGATGTTGACATCTGCCACCGTGTTCCGACGAGGAACTTGACGTGCCCGACAGTGGTTGTCCAATTTCAAGGTCGCACAAAACGTGATGCTGTGCTTGCGAAAGTCAGAAAGACAAAGGTCACCACTAGGCATCTGGGGCACACAGAAAACGTCCCCATCTACATAAACGAAAACTTGTGCCCTACGCTCAGAAAACTACTGGGAATGGCAGTGGCAAGAAGAAAGGAAAAGCTATGGAAATTTGTGTGGGCAAAGAACGGCCGCATCTTTGCTAGGAAGGACGAGACTTCGCAGGTGGTTCGGGTGGCTTGCGTGGGTGACTTAGATAAAATAATCTGAGACCCGAACTGTACCAAATGTAACCTCAGCGCAAAATTGTCATGCAATCTTCCCTTTTGACGCCCGCTGACGTGAGCGTTTGTTTGCCAGAAACAAGAAGCACACATCTTTTTTCCACCTAAACTCTCAATCCCTACGAAATGAACACGATGACATAGCAGCCTTCCTTAGCATGCTAGATTTCACTTTCGACATCATTATAACTGAAACGTGGTACCAAAATGATAGCAAAGTAATTGAACTGCCGCAACATAACACTTTCCTTCAAAATCGCCAAGATAAAAGAGGAGCAGGGGTTATGATAGCTATCAAAAAGTCTTTTGAATGTTCTGCTGTGCCCGCTTTTTCAAAAGTTGATAGTGATTACGAAATATTATCCTTGAATTGTGGTCAAAATGTGTTCTCTGTTGTCTATCGTCCTCCCAACGGAAACGTCTCTTGGCTTTTATCTTTTCTCGATAAATATTTATTTTGGATTAACGAAAACAAGCTTAAGTTAATCCTTGGAGGCGACCTAAACGTCGACTTTTTATCCCCGTCTCTAGCAGAGCGTGAAGTAAATAGAATACTAAAATGCAATGGCTTTGCAAACGTCATAAAAGAAGCAACACGCATACAGAGGACATCAACGTTAATTGATGCATTCATTACAAACATGCATATCTCATCCCTTCTGCCAGGAGTAATATCTACTCAAATAAGCGATCATTTGCCGACTTTTATTTTCGCTGACTGTCACGCCGATTTATGACGACACAAACCTTGCTATGAAACATATCAAAGCATAAACGATAGTACGCTTCAACTTTTTAGAACCAGTCTCAAAGATATTAACTGGGATCATGTTTATCAGGAAACCGATCCAGAGAACGCGTATAATGCTTTTATTACTACATTTACATCATTATATCTTCAGTGTTTCCCATTTAAACATACAAAATACCAAGAAAAGCGCGCAAGCCATGGATTAATAAAGAATGTTTAAACATGATTCAACGAAAAAACTTCCTTTACAATCGCTTTATTCACAGTAGACGCTTAGATGACCTTGCAAAATTTAAAACTTACAGAAATAAAGTCACGTCTTATCTCCGTCAGGCCAAAAAAAGATTACATGCACAGATTATTTAACACAGACATATTGAAAAGAAGCGATCTCGTCTGGAAACAAATAAACCAGATTTTGAATGTCAGAAAAGCCACAAATCATACTATTGAAATTACATCAAATAATGAAAAACATTAGCCGACTGCTTTAATGACTATTATGTGTCCTTAATTAAGAGCGACCATGATCCAAATTGTATGACGTACTTGGGCCCGCGTAATTAACACAGTGCTTATTTGTTTCCAACGGACGCAAATAAAATTATAAGTTCCTTACTGACTCTCCGCAACAGTAAATCACGTGATCCGCATAATCTACAAATTTATCCCATAAAACATGTAATAGATCTAGTCAGTCCTGTCTTGGAACATATATTTAACAGTTGCCTCCCGCAAGGAGTATTTCCTAAGAGCATGCAAATGGCCAAGGTAACTCTAATTCATAAGGAGGAGATAAAAATGATATATCTAACTATCGTCCAATATCAATTCTTCCAATTTTTTTAAAATGCCTAGAGAAGATAATTTACAAGCGAATTTGCGGTTTTTGTGATAAATTTGGCCTATTAACACCCTGCCAACACGGTTTTCGAAAGCGTCGCTCAACAGAGACCGCCCTTCTCACTCAAAAAGAGCTAATTTTGGAATCTTTTGAAAACAGAGAAATTACACTTGGTGTGTTTATAGATTTCTCAAAAGCGTTTGACTCCATAAATCATAAAACACTCCTTTTAAAACTTGATTCCTACGGTTTTCGTGGTACATTTTTAAAAATAATCAAATCATATCTAGATTTTTGCTGTCAGCAAGCTGTAATAAATAACGAATTATCAGACCTCAAACCCATTTTTGCCGGTGTTCCTCAAGGTAGCATATTAGGACCTTTACTCTTTTATCTTTACATCAACGACATTGTTCTTATTGATTCTAACCCAAAGTTCGTTATTTGCGCCGACGACACCAGTTTATTTTTTAGAGGCGCACAAGTGTCGGACCTCGAAGAACAAGCTTCCCATTGTTTGCGCTTGCTTCAAAACTGGACCAATTCAAATTCGTTAACCATAAACACAAGCAAATCTCATGCCGTGCTTTTCAGACCCCGAAATAAATATCCTTATGTTCCCACTCTTGACCTTAAGCTTGGCTCAGAATCCATTCAAATTCTTTCAGTGGTAAAAAACCTAGGAGTGTTATTTGAAGAGCATCTCACATGGAATCAGCATATTGATATGACTGCCGAAAAAATCTCCAAAATTGTAGGTGTACTGTCTAAATTACGTTATTTTATGCCTCAATGTATTAAGAAACTTTTGTACAACTCGTTATTTTCTTTGTAATTTCTTATTGTTTTTTGGTTTGGGGCAGAACAACTTTCTCCAACATCAACAAACTGCATGTAATCCAGAAACGAGCCATTAGAATCATTGCAAACATACCATATGATACCCATACTAGGTCTGTTTTTGAAACACACAAAATTCTCCCAAGACCTCAATTATATAACGATATTTTACTAAAACGGTACAATATGAGCATCAGACAACATAACATGGCAATTTTAAATTTATCACATCTACAACGTAAGGTACACATACACGATATACGTTCCACTTGTCACTGGATTATTCCACAGACACGCACAAATTACGGTCATCAGATGCTTCGTTTTAACTTACCTTCTTTATTAAATAATCTAAATGTTGATTAGCATTTGCAAGTCACAGTATGTTCTCTTTTTTTTGTTGCTATACCGCTCTTACAGTGTTTTGTTCGCAAAATTGAGACGCACCTCCAATGTGATTATCTATTTTTGTTATGACGTGCCCCTGTTGCAATGCTACGTTTTTTGTAGGGGGCGCAGACCCTCAGTCAAGCCTTTTATAGACTTTTTGTCTGCGCCCCCAACATCTGTGCGATGTTGAATAAAGATTTGATTGATTGATTGATTGATCGTCTCCTATGCTTTGCAGAGAAATCACCTATAAGCGATATGGCGGCCCCAGAATCCTAAAGCATGGCAATGGGAACATGAAGCAGTGAAATCGTCATGCGCGGTTCCATGATGTTGGGCTCCGGCTAGATTCGACGTACCGATGGAATATGTGCCGCGGCCTCAACGCTCCCAGGGACTTTGATGACCGTCAGCGAGTCGCTGGCTGGACTGAAGCACCACCAGTGCTCGTTGGTTTTCTGTTAGTATTCTTCCTCGTCCCGTACACGTCCAATTAAATGTAGTTTCTTCTTGTTGAAACCGTTTTGCTCCGTGTTATTTCTCCGGGTCGGGCATGCAGCAAGGAAAACCGACCACTAGGTGTACACTCTATTGCAGGTTACGAAAAGCGAGACAAGCTCTGCCTGCAAAGCCCTACATTCTTTCGATTTTAGCATATCAAACACTGAAGAGGAGCCAGGTGAACTCACCTCCTCTTTGGCATTCACTCTGCTAAAGTAGAAAGATTCGAGGGCTTTTTGTGCAAAGCTTGTCTTCCTTTTCTTAACCTGCAACAGAGTATAAACTCAAGGACACCTTGCTGAGGCTATGCGGTCAAAGTTGTCGGCCCATGGGCGCTCGAACATCAGAGCCGTGCACGAGAGCTCTTCACTTCTGAAATGCCACAGGAAGTAGTCCTCGAGTATAGAGGTTTGCATTCGTGAAGTGTGTAACGAGTTTTAGGAATGTGCATTAAAAAAATGCTGGGCAGTATACGAGGCAAGCAAGTGGCTCTGACTGAGCAGGCGAAACAAATGGGCACTATAAGCAGATGCCATTGCCGGACAGACTTTTCATCCACCGTAGTCGATTGGAAATGGCGCCATCCTCGTTTACACGTAGGGCGAAAGTTGTTTCTCGTGCGAGGTGGCGTGCTGTGCTAGCTGTAATTTAAACAGCTGCAAAATTACCGCAGGTGGCTCCAGAAGAATGCAAAGCTACCATTGTGCGCATCAACAGCGTCCTGCGCAAGACTCTACCCGTGAACGTCAAGTGGCTTTTCTGCGGCTGCCTGTGTTGTTGCTGTACCCTCGGATGCTCACTCTGGCCCGTCGTCTGCTTGAGCAAACGGGTGAGTCGTTCGTCTTCTCGAACACTGAAGTCCCTTCCCAACGTTTATCTTTTCCCGAAGTTCTCTTTGGGAGCATCTAGCCCAAGCGCTAGGAGGAAGTACAGTGGAATCTCTATAATTTGAACCCAAAGGGGACCAAAACTTTCTCTGAATAATGCAAAGTTTGAACTACCGGGAGTTTCCTCCCTTATAACTTATAGGACGGGACCTGCATGTTAGTTTGAATTATCCATGAGTTTGAATTAAAAGAGTTTGAATTAACGAGATTAAACTGCAGTAATAAACCCGCTTCAAGTAAGAAGCACACTCTGGGAGGTTGCCCGTGAACTTCAAACGAAGTGCAGTCCAACATAGCATCCGCCCGTCATAACTTGCTGGCATTGTATCGGTTTTTATTGATATTTATGCTGCATACTGCAATTGCCTAAAAGAGAATCGTTGAAAAAGGCTAAATATGCGCAAAGCCGGGTTCTGACCACGTTGGTCGTGCAAGACGTTGCCCTTCGAAAAGAACGACAGCGGGAAGCAAGGCAACGAAAGATGGTGTATGTACAGGGTGGGGGCAGTAAGGACCGACACATTTGGCACGCTTTGCAAAATTCGAATTCCAAGCATGCATGCGAGAAATTGGGCACGGAAACATAGTTTAGCAAGAAGTTTTACGTCTTGCTTTCAGAGCCCAACTCGGAGGATGTGAAATGTTAGAAATAAAGCGAAACCAGGGGCCGTGTATTTCTTTTGTCCTATAAAAGCCTGTTCGTCGTCTGCACACTGGTTTACGAGTTCGCTCTCGCTTGGCTCGCTGTACGCAAAAACACCAAGAGCCAAAGTAGAGGCTGGAGATGTGCCAGATAATCGCGATAATTAATACTTTTAACAATATATGATGAATAATGACCACCTGTGGGAAAGCTCAAAAACCAGTGTGCAGACAACAAACATCCGGTATAGGCCATAGGAAATGCACAGCCGTCGTTTGTGCTTTAATTTTATTATATTACCATCTCTGACTTTAGCTTTGAAAAAAATAGACATATATCTTGAGAGACTATGTTCGCGTCCCAGTTGCGGGTATGCAAGAATGTGAAATTTTGCAATGCATGCCGATGTGTTGATCCTTTTGGCTGCACCCTGCAGGAGCAGAGGCATACTGGAAAGATTTGTTCGGCGCAGTTTCACAGGAGCCCAAAAAATAAAAATAAATTGAGGCTGAACCCTTTTCATTGGGCAACAGGTTGTGCCACCTACAGAGAGCAGATTTTTCTATTTTTGGTGCCACTTATCCAAATTGGGAAGCAATGGTCCTTGAAGATAACGATGCTTCTATCGCTTCTCATAAGGAATGTTCTCAACAGGTCTGAGAGAAAAGGCTCTAGTGCAGGATTCAGTTCTTTGTTTTTCATCGCTTTTCCTTTGTACAGTCAATTTGGCACAACGTAGGAACACTAAGACAGCACAGACGTGTCACCATCTTTGAGTCTCGCAAGACAGCCCTCAAAGTTCTGCACGACTTCACCAGGAAAAATAACGTCTATTGTGCTTCGATCCCCGCCATGTCGAATCTCGGGAGATACAGTGAAATACAACTCGAACAAATTTCAAGGCACCTCAAAGAAAAGTTTACATCGGTGAAAGTTCACTCTATTAAATGCTTTATGCACAGTGTGGCTTTGCTGGGGAATTTGAGTTTGTTCATATGAATAGTTTTTTTCCATTCATGTTTCTTCAAGTGGTTTTTCACTGAACGCTTTGTTTCTCCATGAGTGCAAGCAACGTAGAAGCTGCTATAGACCGGAGGTCAGATTTATAAAACAATCTTACGAACGCTGGATCCAAAGATATCCAAAAAAAGCTACAACGGTAGCAATTTCGCCATCCATGCAGCTGCCAAGGGCTAGTTCAGCACACTAGGCCTAGCAAGGCGCTCCTACGCTGTGTTGCTCGGACTGTCCCTGGCCAAGACCGTCTGCTGAATAGAATGTGCCCGCGCGACCCTTGTCGACCCTTCCCGTATAACTAGTTTAATTTCTGACCTCGATTTTCAGCTCAGAAGTCAGTCTCTTCCCCTTGTCATTGCCTTGTTTTCAGAGGCAGCGGCGGCAAATGCTCTTGTTGAAAAAGGAAACTTTCGTTGATTCTACAGAATGTAGAGAGATGGCCCGCAAAAATCACTTTCTCAGTGTATCGCCTCATGTTAACCACTTGTGCAAACTTGATCACTACACCTGCAAAAGCTCTTCATTTTTCTTTTCTTTTTTTTTTTTTTCAAAAATATGTTGTTTGGTGGAATGCCCTTCCCGATTCCGTTGTCAGCAAAACTAAACCCAAATATTTTTGGACTCCTATTTCTTTTATTTAAAAATGTTGTAATTTCTGTTCTATCATTTCTTGTTTAAAATAGAGGTGGCTGTGTGATTTGCTTTAGTTATTTATGCTTTTTTTTGGCCTTTGATTCTTTTGGTTGTTTTAGTTAGTTTTTCCTCGTAATGTGTGTGCCTTTTCTCTTATGTAATCCACTTAAAGAAACCTTTAAAGGGCCACAGAAAAAAAAAAATGTTTTTTTGAACAGTTCGGTTGGGACACGCGTCTCATAAAATGAATTTTACGTGAAAAAAAAAACATTTTTGGAGCAGTATTGACGGCTTGAGATTTATTTAAAAATCTGCGCGGAAAGCCCATCACGTCACGGAACGGTCATACACTCTCGCCACCTCAACGCGATGACCAAGCCGATCCACTTCTCCTCCATGCACCCGAAATGCCGAGAGAAAACAAGTGGAAAGGAGGTGACACCGTCAATATTGCTCTAAAAACGTATTTTGGTTTTGCGTAAAGTTAGTTTTTTGACACGCGTGTTTCAACCAGACTGTTTAAAAACATTTATATTATTTTCAGTGGATCTTTAAGGTATTTCAGTAAATAAATAAATAAATAAAAGATTGGTCCCGAAGCGCTGACCGAGATGCAGTCCAACAGCGCTGTTCCAGCGACTCGATCAAACACGCGCATGTCTCCTCCCAGTGTATTAAATAGGTATTTACATGGCTCTTGCCGACATTTTTGTAGTTCACATGTATGTTGTTGGACGACTGCTCGCTCCTACAGCCCCGAGGCCGCGAAAAAACGCTGCAGCAATTTTTTTCCCTGTGCGCCGCTTTTGCAGACGACCAGTGCAAGCCGTCTTCTTATAGCAACGATGGTAGTTGTGTTGACTTCGTAGTGATTGAGTTTACAGTGTCGACCGAGGCGGTTATCCCGGCATTCTCTCTCGACATTAGGGCCCATGTAAATCATAGCGTCGTCATTTCACTGCGCAGAAACAACCTCCAGACAAGCCTTGGCGGAATGTCCACCTGCGCTTGTTGTAATTCAGAATCCACGTGCTCCGAAGCGGGTTGAGCCCTGATTAGTTGTTTGTGTTGCCGAAGGGGCTATCGCCATATCAACAGCCACGCTCTCGCTGGCATCGGGAGCTTGCAGGGCACCAAAAGACTAGAACTTGAGTTCGTAAGTATTAGCTTTCGCACTTCTTACGATGTGTGCAACTTGCGAACATAGCTAAGTTGCGTAGCCTGAGAATGTCTTCTTGAATCTGGCCTCTGTAGCTTTAAAGTTTCGACTAGTGCCCGTGGCAAGAAAAATCAAGTATCCTTCGGTCGTGTTTTCCAGATTGTTTAAAACAAATCTGAAACAACTACATGCTTATCATTTTGGAAAAACTCTGAAGCCCCGTGCTGTACATTTTTTTTTGTTTTTGTTAGCACACTAGAACAGGTGCTGACAGACGCTTGGTGTAAGACCACAACTTGTACACAACTGGATGCTGCAACGCCGCATTTATGATTGCATCTTGCAAACACTAAAGCGCCAATGTACACTTTTGACCGTGTATCGACGGCTACAGACCTTCAAAGACTGTGTCGGAACGGGATAGAAAACTGGAATCTATCTTATTTGCAGACGCGGCATTCGATAGACAAAGTCCTGGACTGGGGGAATAGTCACCTTTACCACACTGTAGGTGTGCCTTCAACGCCATGCGGTCCTGTTTTTGTGCCCATTGCATTTCTTCAGACAACCGTTAGAGGGCTGTCTCATTCTAAAATTGGGCTGAAGTCAAACACGAAATTACACTATTCTACTTCATTTCAACTTTAAAAAACGTTGCACCTAGTACCCTATCTGGTGAGAACAGGCATGTCTCAAAATGTGTCTGTCGCAAAAAACATTTTTTTTTACGAATATTTATGCTACAATACAAACTTTTTTGGTTTGCGGACGAAACCGAAACTTTACCCCTGTGGGATGATGATGATGGGGTTCGTACCCAACTAGTGTCCGCTCCAAGTTTGCTGGACCTCCGAGTTGCCTCAGAGCGAACACTGTAGCTCATTTCAACTCAAGAAGGTGGGGCGAGGAGAAGGAAGGCGGGAGAGGAGCAAGCAGACTGTATGCTCGAGTGAAGAGGGGGAAACTTCCTCCTTTCTTTTGCGTTTCGTCTGCCTTCTCCTCCCCAGCCCTCGTTTCCCTCGGTTTACTTTTTTTGTTATAATAATAGTTTATTTACGATATGCATGTATACTATATGGTGAAAGCTGGGGAAGAAAGCTTACAAAGAGCTTGACTGGTCCCCAGCCCCCTCAGAGGAACACAGCGGTGTCAAAAATTATACAAAGCAAAGAAATCCACCAATGCAAAACTGGAATAAGAAAACAAAGGAAGAACAGCAAACACTGGGCCAAAAATGCCAACTAGATATCAGCCACACGCAACAATGAAGAAAATGGACATGCCAAATACAAAAAGTTAACGCGACATTCTTTCAAAGAAAATATTCACGGATCTCACGTGGGGTTAAAGATACTATATCAATATTGGAAAGCGAGAAAGTGTTGAGCAACGGAGGCAGGGTTCTTCTAATCGTCTGAAGGCCGTAGTCAGTACGCGATGTGTCTATCTATTATCCAAGGGTCAGGGTGACGAAGGGTATGCGTTTGCGGTTTTTTTTCTGAGGGAAGCCAAGTCAAATAAGTATCTTTTACTCTTGGTATATTCTTCTTTATATTTCATGGCAAGTCTATATTCGTAATTTTCATGTATTTTCATTATCCCCAGATTAGCAAAAACTTTCTTGAGTTGGAATGGACAATAAATAGTTTGATACAAACCTGGCCTAGAGTACAGTTTCGGTTTTGCCCGGAAATCGAAAAATTTGTTCTGCATCATCAATACAACAGGGTGATTCAAGGAGACGCCAGGCTCTTTAAATCAGCCAGAAAATTCAGTTTCTTAACCTATCACGCTACGACTTTGTGCAGCGTTGCCCACAGATGGTGCATTTTTTTGTAAAATTTGCAAAGAGCGAACTTACCTGAGGAAAAAGTAAAGAAAGAAAAAGGCTTAGCTCCCATGGAAATCCAGCGAAGCCACCGGTCTTCAAACAACATGGCGCCGTTTCGCACGGGAAACAAGAGGTGGCGCAAGCGGTCGCGACGCCAACTGCCGCCAACATTCGAGCATACGACGCTGAGAGCCGGCGACTTTCAATCAATCAATCAGTTTATTTTTTCTTTCAAGGGGTACACACTCCTCGAAATGGTACCTTGGTGCAAAAGGCGATCGTGTCGCCTGACTGGGCACCAAGACAAGAAACTGCAGTTCTTTGTTGTTACCGCGCCTGTTTTTGTTTCTGCGACGGTCGCCGACAGCGGAACGCGTGCCACTTTTGAGTCGTAAAGATTGTCTGCTAAAAACGCCGGCTCTGGGCGCCGTATGCTCGTCCGTTGCGCCATCTCTTGGATCCCGTGCGAAACGGCGCCGTGTTGTTTGAAGACCGGTGGCTTCGCTGCATTTCCATAGGAGCTAAGCCTTTTTCTTTCGTTACTTTTTTCTCAGGTAATTTCGGTCTTCGCAAATTTTACAAAAAAAAAATGCATCATCTGTGGGCAACGCTGCACAAAGTCGCAGCGTGATAGGTTAAGAAACCGAATTTTGTGGCTGATTTAAAGAGCATGGCGTCTCCTTAAATCACCCTGTACAAAACAAAAACAAAAACATTTTTTATATGCATTTATTTTGAGACGTCCTGTCCTTCCAAAAAAGATAGAAGTTTTTTTCATAGGTTTAGTGTTTTTTTAAGAGACGATACTACTCAGGAAAGCAAACTTTTTAACCGTTAGTCTTTTTCGTATAAAATTTGCAGGGCATATTGATAGTTGGTAAAGAGGATGACATGAAAAATTTTAAAAGTATAAGTATATCCTTTAAAAAGTTACATATATGCACATAAAATGAACATGCACCCCCCCAGAAAAACTCTTTTAGAAAAGGTAATGATAATGGCCAGTTCTTTTCAACAAGCATGCAGTATAACATCTCTGTCACACGGCTATGTAAAGAAATGACAGACCACCATTTCTATTAAAAAGTAGAAATGTGAAAATTAAAAAATTATTTGCCAGCATTAGTTTTAAGCTACTGCAGCTTTTTTAATAATAAAGGACCATGAGAATCCAGAAAGTAATCTCATAGCCAAGTACGTTCCTTACAAAAGTTTCAGTACAGAAACTTCAAAAATTCGATCCACACATCATTTTATTATCAAATGGTAGCTCTCCTGAAACAAGATTTGATGCTGAAAAGTGAAATTGAGATAATTGTGTTTGAAAGTTCAGAAACCCACACTTCAGGTGGCACCTGTATGTCGGAAGTAATTTATTGCAGAAAAAAATACTTCAGTTACGGGAGTGAAACTTTCTGGCAGCATCTATGAGGATACTTGAAAGCTGCTACAAGGTAGTTGGGACCAATCAAGCAGCTTCAAAACCACAAGATGAACCAGTCTGTTTGCAATTGGTTCAGCGATGATAGAACGCATACATAAACAAGATAAGCACCATGATGGTGCGCGTCTGACACTGCCTGATAGATCTCATCAGCCCAAAGTGTCGGATGTGTCTGCACTTGAGGTGAAACAATGAATTGCTTGATCATGCCGACAAGGACTGGGGGGGGGGGGGGGGGCACAAAATGCTACGAGCTGCGACAAAACGACGCCGTCATGATATCACCATGTCACGGCGTCAGGTGACGTCACAGTCCTTTGTGACACTTTTTCATGACTGCTCTTCACGACGGTTTTCTCCTAAGAGTTCGACTGCAAAAATGGGTTCTGTAATTAAACGAACATCAAATTCCTGTTCAGCAAACAAAGACAATTGGTAGGAGAATCTGTGTAGTACAGTGAAATCCACTCCTAACGATACCATATATCTCGATGTACTGCTTATAACGGTCAGTTTCTAGAGTTTCAAGACTAGAAACGCCCAGCTTTTAGTCCAGATATAACGATAATATGTTATGACGAATGAATTTTTTTTTATTATCGTTATAAGTGGATTGCACTGTTGTCAACCCAGTCACACTTTCTTCGTGCTGGCTTTACTCGATAATGGGTAGACTTTTAACAGAAAGGCTCGCCCATCTTCGACGTGCCTGCTTTGCACATCAAGCACATACAGTTAGTCACTCTAATTTAGAGGGAGGGCAGCAAATGTGATCTATACCAAGGTTCTGACCATGTGAACATCACGCTCAACATTCCGGCGGTTTCGCTTCTTTTTCTAAATCAGATCTTTGCCTCGTTGGTTTTGTACAAAGAATTAGCCTCCAAGTTCTTGTTGAGAAAGTAAGTGTGCAGGTTTAGTTCATAAAAATGCCGACCTATAACTAGAGACACCACAGTGTGAACATTTTTTTGTCATTGTGGTTTGTTCCACCTTTTAATATTCAAAAGGGAGGGGGGGTGTCCACTACACTGCATCTGTTACGTAACGACAGCAGGAACATCATCTGCTGACTGCTCCGATTTTCAGAAACGTAGAGAAATTTGTGCAAGCGCTTGCTCCTTTGAAGCAAGTAAGTGCCGCAGACGGTCTTGCATCCACACTATACACCTTCGACAAGTGCACAACCTGATAGCAAGTTGTAGAGTCGTAATATCATATGATGATATGATGTATTGTCAGTATGTCATGTCATCATCATATCAAGGCGATTCATGCTACAGTACAATCTCTTCATACTAAAATCCGAGGCATCGCACAAGCCTCTCCGTCTTGACGGAAATTCCACACATCGAATGACTAGAATACCACTTTGAAGAAACGGTGAAGTTTCAGTAGCATATCTATAAAGAACCGCCCATGAAAGTTCCACCAAAAGAGCTTCTGCCCTATTTATCTCGCATAGGCGTGAGCCCCCCCCCCCCCCCCCCCCCCCCCCTATGGGGACACAGGACTGTTGCTCAAACTCTTGCAGATTATTCAACGGTTAACGAGCGTGTTGCTTTGTTTCAGGTCGGTCTACATTGGAAGCTTGGAAAGCAGCGGTGCGATTCCAACAGCACGATTGAATACGCAAGTACCCTCCGATCGAAAATGGGCTCCAGTTATCGAAACTACTCTGCGTCAGCTTGTTCGTGCTACGGCTGCGAGGCTAGCACAACTTCTGCAGTGCTCAAAGAAAAAGGTTATAAATGAGAAAGTGAAGACGTCGAGAAACTTCTTCCGTTCTCTCAGACTTTTGTTGCACAGGTTGGTAGTAAAGTTGACTAGATCACTGAATGTCGCTATTGCCCGGTGCCAAATGTGGCGATGGTCAAGAAAACGGCAGCCGTTGTTGCCGTTTTCTAGACCAAATGTTTCCCTAATTAACTTGCATCTACTTCCAAGAGTGGCTTTTGATATGACACAAAGCAAGCAATGTTAAAATAGTCAAAGTGCAGGCGTGCTGGTGTAAGTTGAACATGGTTGTAAACCTGAGACTGGGGCAGAAAAGAGAACACAACAGAAGGTAGTAAAAGAGGAGGAAACGTCTCAATTTGAGACGTTGCCTCCTCTTTTACTACCTTATGTTGTGTTCTCTTTTCTGCCCCAGTCTCAGGTTTACAACCATGTTCAAGCAATGTTAGTTTGAATTAAATCATCATTTTATACTTCTCGTCTAATGGCAATTACATCAATCTTATTATTACGAATGAAATGGTCTGAAGCTTACACATTCTTACTTTGTTAGCCATTACACATTCTTACTGTGTTAGCTATTGGTCAGTGTCGGCTATTGGCTTTCTTAATAAGCCAAACTGTAGCCGACAGCCATTGCTGACATTTTCGGGATGAAATGTTTCTGCAATCAATGTACACAACTTGCGAAGAGTGGTTTTTCTTGCAACGCAAAATTAACAAGGTAATTTTGCTTATGCTCACAGTTTGACTTGTTGTCTAACCATTTTTTTTACAAACAAAATAGTTAAGTTTTCAAATTATGAGGGTCCCTTACCACTGGTTCTGAAACCAGATGCTGCTCGTCGAATTCATCCCCAAGTTGGCCATCCATCGGCCCGACTAAAGGCCGACAAGCCAGTCTCCCTTCCTCAAGCGTTGCCGCGGTGCTCGGGCCAATGAGGCGGCAAGAGGGCTCTCGAGGACGACAAGAGCGTAGCGAATCTCTGTCACGGCGGAACGAAGACAGCCCCGCCCTGAGCATTTGCTGCGTCTCTTTGGAGACCATCTTACAGACAAGAAAACGGCGCAAGGCAAGAGTTCTTAGCCGACACCACAAAACTACTGTACCAAGTGCAAACAAAAGAGATCTGATGGGTCGTTTAAAAGAAACGTGCGAGCAGAGATAGGTCGCAAAAAAAAAACAGCAGAGAATTGCACAGGTGAGTTTCATTTACCGTGTTTAAACGTACGTAGGACGCGCTTAGACTTAACAAACTGGAGTTTGCTGGAAGAAGAGTCCCAGACATGTTGCTTGTTCGATGCTATTAATCCTTTTCAGATGTCAGCAGTTGCAAGCTGTCTGAGCGTAAACTCGGAAGCAGTAGGAATAAAGTTTTTATTGGGCGCTCCGATCTAAAATACGCAAATGTTGTTGACAAGGGTGCTCGTAAAATGAGCGTCAGCAACTCCGTAACGACTGCACCTGGCATTTGAGACTGCTTCCTCGTCGTCTGCCGACAAAGTTTAGAACTTTATGGCGTGCCATTGATCAGGATCGTCGGATTGGATTGTGTTGGCTAAGCCCTTTTAAACGGGCAATCAGTTTCAGAAACGTTTGGAAAGGGTCCACACATCAAAACTTGACATTGTGTGCCTCGGAGCTTTGCAAATCGGCGCCAATTTTCGCTTTTCACAAATACGAGCCAACTGTAAGAGAAGGATGCCACGAAGAGTGTGTTTGGAAACCTCCAGTATTGTATATTTTCCTTGTTCTTATGGCGCATCAGAAGTCCCTAGCCAGGAAATTGTTTCTTCCCCCTTTTTCTTTTCTTGCAGAGAGGAAAGCAATGCAATATGAATGGTGAACTTTGAGGGCCAAGGATGACAGTCGTTTCGTGATAGAGGGTGGGCATGTAATTCCTTACCTACGGGGAAATGGTTATTTCAATTCAATTCAATGTTTATTTGATGAGTTGAAGAGTTTGGTCCCATATCCTGGTACCGGCTACTTCAGATCAAGTAATGTATAGTATAAATGATGTATAACATCCAAATATAAAATGATAACACCATGAATAATACTCTCAGTTGCCGTACACGCACAAAAAAAATACACGGTGAGAGAAGCGATTACGCAATAAATACATATGTACATATGTACAATAGATTACTGTAACATAGTAATCAACTTACTGGAAAAAAACGCGGTTATCTTTTAAGGGCGCGTTGTGCGTGTTTTCACCTTCGTATGATACCTAATATCTGTAAACTATCTTTGTGTTAGTAAAAAAATCACGTAGTAAAGTTGATGCCCTCTTCTCGCTTTTTAAGTCCGGCCAAGGTCCTAAAACTTTGGCCAAAGAAAAAGAGCGATTGTCGAATATGCTTAGTCCCACTCGTTATCGAGTTCGCCACTGGTCGTATCTGCGACACTTCATTATTATGTGCTCGACGTCTTCCACGGGGTGGCCACACCTGCAGCTCGGTGTTTCCACCTGTTGAATTCGGTAAAAAAACTTGCCGGTGTACGCAACATTTAGTCGTAGGTGATGAATTAGTGTTTCAATAGGTCTGCTCAAGTAATTATGGACTGAGCACCGAAGGTCTGGATCAATTAGAAGGAGTAGGCTCTGTTCCGAGATGCTCTTGAGCCACGTGTCAGGGGACGTCATGTTTCTCAGACAACGAATGTACCGCTTGGCATCGCTTTTTGTAAAAGGTGTGAGCTGGACGTTGTTTCTTGTATATGCATCCGTAGCCAGTTCGTCAGCTTGGGTGTTTCCTAAAATACCGCTATGTCCAGGAACCCATTGAAGATGTACCGTATGTCCAACCCTTATTGCTTCCCCAAGTTCTTCACAAATTCGGTACACAAGAGCCATATTTTCGTTGCGAGTGTTCAGGGTATTAATGGATTGTAGTGCTGGCTTGGAGTCCGTAGATATAACCCAGGAATTCGCTGTCGAGCTATTTTTGATGTATATTGCAGCCGCGAGTAAAGCATGCAATTCTGCGGTAGTTGAAGAAGTATGATGTGACAACCGAAAGGATGACAAATGGTTGAACTGGGGTACCACAAATGCTGATGTTGATCCTTCATCCTTGGTTTATCCGTCGGTATACACGTGGATGTTTTCGTCGTATTTTTGCTGTAGATGTGCAATGGTCAATGTCCTTGCAACGTGTGTATTTACCGATGCTTTTGTTTCCATGCCTGGAATGCTCATGTGGACGTCTAGTAATGGTAGCTTCCATGGTGGCTTATGAATGTCCTGAACCCAGTGTGTTTGTTCAGGGATTAATAGGGGCACAAAATTTAATGTTCGAAGAAAGTTCGTCCCTTTGCGAGAAAGAATTTTATTAAAAAGGGGCCGCCCAGAAAGTCTAAAAAAGTACGGCATACTTCCTGGATGCTTAGGATAGTTACTGCTGGTTCTTTGGCTGTAGCGAATACAAGCGCACTGGATGTTGCTCGCGGAAGACCTAAGCATACTCTTAGACTTCTTGCAAGTATATAAGTAAGGCGAGCTTCTGATGTGTTGGAAACCCCTGTAACACAGGTATAGAATAGGCAATTGCCTGTCGCACTAGCGCTGCGTGGAATGAGAGCATTGAATCAATTGAGGCTCCCCATTTTGCACCCGCTATGCATCGAAAAACATTAATTACACTATTAATTCTCCCCTCCGGCATATCTATATGTTTGGACCAAGTCAGGGATTGATCCAGTAGGACGCCAAGAAATTTGTATGATTGAACTCGCTGAATTGAGTCTCCATTTACATTAAGTTTGAAACCAGGAAGCTTTTTTCTGGTAAATGGTATAAATGCAGATTTCGTGGCAGATAGCTCCATTCCTCGTTCTCTTAAAAACTTGTTTGTCGTGTCTAAGGCTACCTGTAACTGATTCTTTAAAATATCTGGGGACGAGCCAGAGATCCAAATACAAATATCGTCAGCATATATAAATATTCGTAAAGGTGGCTGGAGTTTCTGCGGCAACTGCGCCATTACGACATTGAAAAGAGTAGGGCTCAACACGCTACCTTGGGGTACTCCATGGTGGAGTTCATGATGCTTGCTGTCTCCATCATTTGTACACACTACGATCTTCCTGCATCGAAGAAACTCTTGTATCCAGCGAAGCATGCGTCCATGTACACCAAGAAGCACAAGTCCTTCAAAAACATGAGCGTGACTAACCGTATCAAATGCTCGGCGAATATCTAGGAACACTGCCACTGTAATGTTTCCGTTATCTCGTTCGTACTCTACACAGGTGGTGAGGTCTAAGATACCATCCATTGTGCATCTACGTGGACGAAATCCTGTAATTTCTTCGGGAAACGCTTTACTAGTTTCCAACCACCACTGCAAGCGGTTATGTAAGATCTTCTCGAGCAGCTTTCCGACGCAACTGGTTAAACTTACAGGGCGGAAGGAATCCAGGCTCAGTGGTGATTTTCCAGGTTTTGAAATCGGAACTATTTTAGCTAGCTTCCACGATTCCGGTATTGTCTCTGTTTTCCAAACTTGATTGTATATTTCTAGAAGAGTGCTGGTGGCATCGGGGCCGAGATTTGGTAGTGCATCGTAAGTGATCTTATCGAGACCAGGAGCTGTAGACTTGCGGGTGTTGTGAAGCACACAAAAAATTTCACGTATGTTGATTTCATGATCTAGCTCTGCATGCACTAGATGCCTCTTGTTCTCGAGGGTACGAGTAGCCTGCGTCTTGGAAGATTTGTATTGGTAAGTTGTTACCACATCGCTTTGTTGTGCTAACAGAGCGAAAAATTCATCCGCGATTGTTACTTCCGATATGCCCCTCAGAAGCGCTAGCGCGCGGAAGGGTTGTTTTTGCATAACAGGCGTGCGAAGAGAACGAAGTATTTTCCATACTATTGGAATCGGTATGAAGGGGGTCATATTGCCGCTGAACTTCCTCCATCGGCGGACTGAAAGAATTTGCAGCTCTCGACGCATGAGCTTGTGAATATGCTGGGCCTGGTTATAGTCTTCAACATCTCCTGATCTTCTATAGCGGCGCTCTGCTCTTCGTCTTTCTGCACGTAGCTTTTCGTATTGACCATTAACACCAACGTGTCCGTTAGGTACAGGTACAAGACGCGTTGCCCGTTCGCAACTAAGCAAAATCGAGTTCGCAAAATCATCGGGCTCTTTCAAATCGGTATGTCTTAAAGTATTTAAATGTCTGAACATCTGCCAGTTTGTTATCCGTGCTCTATGTTGCTGCCCACGAATATTAAGAAGAGGGTGTTGTACGAGAATGGGAAAATGGTCGCTACCTCGGGTTTTCCTGTCTGTCATCCATGCCATTTGAGGTGAAATGTCTGGAAAACATAGAGTCAGGTCTAAACAGCTGCAGTAGGTAGGGCCACGAACAAAGGTCGGCGATCCGTCGTTGAGGACGCATATGTTATACTTGTCCACACACTCGGCAATGACATTTCCACGTCGATCGCAATGGTCACTCCCCCACATTGTGCGGTGTCCATTGAAGTCTCCACATATAATAAAAGGAGCAGATACGTGACGAAATATTTCAGAAAACCCAAATGAAGTTATTGGAGTTTGCGGTTGATGTACACGCTCACAACTGTAACTGAAGACTTACCACACCGTACTTTGCAGGCGACGAATTCTGGGCTATCTTTCGTAGAAGAGAACAGATGCACTGATACCAGATCTTTCTGTATAGCTAGCATCGCTCGACTTTGACCATTTTGACGAGATGATTTTGACTGCACGTAGTTTGAGCAACGAAAGTCGTCGTCCACGCGAGCTTAGGTTAATGCAAGTATCGGTATGGTGTTCTTTTTAAGAAATTGACGAAAATCACCATAATCCGTTGGCATTCCACTGAAATATTCCTATATGGCT